GGGGTGCGGCCTGACTGAGGAGGGGTTAGGAAGTTCTGGGGCGGGGGGGGGGAAGGGTAGGCCTTGGGGGCAGCTTCTGGTCCGTGTGGTGTTATTTGTGCCCAGGGGGAGGAAGGTAAGGCCTTGGGGGGGGGTCATTAAGCCAGGGAGGGCTTCCCCCTCCTTAGGGGTGAGTGGGGGTCCCCCCTCAGGGCAGGCGGGGGTGTCCCTGTCCATGGGGGTGGAAGGGTCATCCCAGGGCAGGTGTTATCGTCCCCTTAGGGCTGTGGAGCCCAGTTACGGACTGGGAGGGTTTATTAGGCTCAGCTGGGGACTGAGGAGTGGGGCTGATTATAAAGGGTGGGGATTTGGTTCTTCTCCTCCAGGTGGATGCGAGAACAGCTCCAGGAGCAGGCTCCTGAGACTCTGGCTATCCCATCAGGATAACAACTTGAAACCCAGGTTAATTCTCTTTAGACAAAAAAGTCTCAACATTGAGGGCTATTTTTGAAAAGCTAATTTTGCCAGCGATAAAACCCAGTCTCTTGGAGTTTCAGCCCAATGCAGAGAGCATCGCGGCTGAAGAGGGAGCTCTCCCTCTTGGCCACAGAGCCGCCTCCGGGCATCACCTGCTGGCAGAATGAAAACCAGCTCGATGACCTACGAGCCCGTACGTACTTCTCTGGTGCAACTTTTCTCTAAGGGGCGCGTGAGAGTTCGCTGCTAGGCCTGGATTCGCTGGGTGGCCTGCGCTTGATAGGCTGCCTGGAATTTAGGAAAACGCTTGGGGAGTTGTTTTTGTTTTCCTTTAATTGTAGCTTGCCCTATGGCTCGGCCGGTCTCCCTACGGTTTTGATTGCCATGGGGTGGAACTGGTCTCAGATAAGATGACTTTTTTTTTTTTTTATTCCTCTTTTTATTTTATTGTTAGAGTTCTGTAACTGCGGGAGGTATGTGGAGGCTGTTGGACAAATTCGAGTGATTTTGAATGTAATGCTTATGTTTTAATCTTGCTTTTAAAGAAATTTTAGGAGGTGCAGACACACCGTATGAGAAAGGAATATTCAACTTGGAAATAGTTGTTCCTGAAAGGTAAGTGGGCAACAACATCTCGTTAAGTAGCTGGTGTAGTGCTTCCCTCCCATACAAGTTAACTGGTGGGAGAGATTTGCTGTAAGTGCTACCATTTTGCTCTTTCCTTTAGCCTCCCGACAAAGAACGTGGTTGATTGGGCGAGGCCCTTCATTTATGGAATGTAATTATTATTTCCATTGGCTGATACGCTTATTTCACACTGGGCATCCTAAGATGTGCGATTAACAACCTGAAAGCGTTATGACAAGATCTCTACCTTATCGTATTGTCTTAAAGCTTTCTGGAGAGGAGCTCTTTTATGAGTAGAAAGTCGCCTATCACGTTTGCTTCGTTGTGGAAAGCCAGCCAGGCAAGTGCTGGCCAGACACAGCCGAAAGCATCAAAGGCAGAGCTCTGCCTCCCTCAAAAGTTTGTGGGGAAGGATGGCAACGTGTAAACGGCTGGGAGAAGGAAATAACGGCGTTGCTTGGGTGATGAAGCAACCGGCGTACAAATATAAAAGGAACTTTTTGTTTTGTAACGCTAATCCCTTAAAGGTACCCGTTTGAGCCCCCGAAGATTCGCTTCCTGACCCCTATCTATCACCCTAACATCGACTCTGCTGGAAGGATTTGTCTGGATGTTCTTAAATTACCACCGAAGGTAAGGCAGCGCTACGTGGGCACGGGTAAGCGAGCCTGAAGAGGATAATGAACTCCTTATCTTTTTCTTGTAAAAGCCTTATTGAATGTCTGTTTGCTACTGACTTATTTACACAGGAGCACGGCAGTAAAGTTTTTGAGCGGCGTCTCCTTTGTTTAGAGACTAGAACGTCACCTTCTTTGTTCCATATAAGTTTCCAAGGTTTTAAGGATTGGAGTCAGAAGGAATTGGGTGGCCCTGCGAAAATGGGCTGCCCAGCAGAGCAGGATATGGCCTGTGGTTGTCGGTCAGGCTTCCTCGGAGAGGCCGCAGCCGGTGTGGTGAGAGTGGATCTGGTGTTTTCTGTGGGGGTTTAAATGCCGTTAGTCCTGAGGTTTCTCTCGGCAGCCCGTGAGCAGGTTTCTTTCTGCTTAACCGCTTCTCTCGCCCCGTTTCCCTGAAGGGTGCGTGGAGGCCTTCCCTGAACATCTCCACGCTGCTGACCTCCGTACAGCTGCTGATGGCGGAGCCCAACCCCGACGACCCCCTCATGGCAGACATAGTACGTGAGCTCCTCTTCCTCTCGTGTGGCCGCGGGCGCAGGCTGGGACGGGAGGCTGTGTTAGATTTAGGCTGCGCTTCCACTTCGCTCGCTCTGGATTAACACGCTAGCTCGTTACGCAGCGGCGTACCTTGATCTGGAGCAGGGCTGCGCTTCCCTGAAGCGGCGGGGGCGTGCGGTGCAGGGCTTATGCCAGCAGTGGAAAAGAGACGGTAAAGGTCTGGTCTTCCAGCCCACCAGCGCAAAGGGCAGCGTGCGTTCTTCAAGCAAATAAAAGCAAACCAAATGAATTTTATGCTTCGTGCTGCATGCTTGTAGTGGTTTTGGCCTGCTTCTAGGAGCCCTAAAGCCAGACCTTAGTCCCGGCTTCTCGGTGTGATGTCTGTATGAAATCAAATCTGTCTTTGTCTTGCTTGTTATGTTTAGTCCTCGGAGTACAAGTACAACAGGCAGCTGTTCTTGCTAAATGCCAGAGAGTGGACGGAGAAATACGCCAGCCAGCAGAAGAGGGTAAGAAACGCTCTGCTTTCTCAGCCGGGCGTCGCTCCGTCTTTGCGAGCACTCTGTCTTGTCTCAGTTTGCCTTTCCCGATCGCTTTGTGCGGCTGTCTTTGGCAGCGCTCTTTCTTTCCTCCCCTTCTGTGTTTTGGATGGGTATTTAATTTCATTATGCTTTTAAGATCGTTAGATTCACTCCTTCCAAATCCATGTGTTCATGCACAAATAACTGCAGGGCTTCTCGAGCAGAATGAAGGACTGACGCCTGATAAAACCCCTCCCCGGGATCCCGCAGCCCCGTTTCTTTCTCCGCTCTGTTCCTGCCGGGCTCCGCTGCGGCTGCGCCTTGCGTTCAGCCGCTCCCGTTCTCCACCCGCTCATCCCTTCGCTCCCTGATCCCGGGCGGAGCGCCGCCTTCCTGCCCTCACCCTTCCCCTTTCCCTGCCTCCGTTCTGGCTGATCTCACAGAGGAGTCGCGTAAAAATAAATGGCACTGAAGCAGATCAAACCCTGTTCCCAAAAATCAGGGATGTTTGGGCCTTCTCCCTTACCGGGGAGCTTTCCCTCCCTGCCCCTGAAGTGGACAACGTGTTTTCTGAGAGAGAGGGGAATGTTTTTCTACCGGGAAGCCCCGTGAGCGGGGCTCACCTCTCCGGCTCTGAAAACATTTGCGAATTAATCGTGTGGGTTGTTAAAAGGGCTGGGGGTGAGGAGATCTTGGCAGCAAGAGGCTTAGCCCCAGGGACGCCTGGCTCGTGCGTGGCATTTCTAGGCTCAACCGTTATCCCGCTTTCCCGTCATTCCCCCTTCCTAAAATTTCCCGCGGTGGGAGCGGGATGTTTAAGGGTTGCTGCGTAAAAGCTGGAAGCACGGAGCTCTGATCCGCGGGGCGCGCACGCAGAGCCGGGAACGCGCAGCGGCGCCGAGGCCTGGAAAATTAAATTATTTACCGCTGTTACTTCTATTTCTTGTGTCATCACAGGCTTCCAAGCCTTTGGAAGAGAAAATAAACCAAAGCGAAACACAGACCGCCGATGAATCCACCGCGCAGAAGAGAAAAGGGAGTAACGTCGGCAAGAAGGAGAAGAAATCTCGCCTGGGTTCCTAGGCGGTTTTCGTTCTCGTGGCTGACGCCTTTGCTTTCGCTGTCCTTTTCCCGCAGGTGCCCCTAAATATTTTAACCAGTGTGTAGCTGTAGCGGGCTTTGGTTTTCTGTTTCCTAGGGTTTGGTTTTCTTGTGACAAGTTCCATTATATTAATTAAATATAGAGCTTTAATTTATATGTATTTTTCTGGTTTGGTGTGTGGAGTTTTTGGAAGTACCGGTTCAGCTTCCCATTTCCAGCTTTCTCCCAGAGAAACGGGAACAGCACCAAGTGTTGGTTTCTGTTTCGCCGTCCCTGCCTGGGACCGAGCCGAGAGCAGACGCTGAGCAACGGACGCGTGAGGATGAGTTTGTAGAAATCCTTTGCCAGCGAAGGCTTCGTTTTCCTGGTACCGTCCAGGCCGCCACAGGGTGAGTCGGTCCTTAAGACTTAAGCCTCCGAAGAGTTGAAACTCCTGCTCTCCAGAGCAGCCTGTCAGATTCCGGTTGCACCTTGAACAATTTAACGTGACCCGAGCTGTGGCTTGACCCCGTTGTGTCTCCGGAGGCGGCCAGGGAAAAGCACCGGCCCAGGGGGATGGAGGGAAGCCCGGAGGAGGGGTTTTGGGGGTGCGCGGGGGCAGGACTCCCCGGCACCAGAGCTCTTTGATTTTGCGAAGACCCGTGGCCGATCGCAGTGGGAGCAGGTTTGACGCTCGGCCTCCCTCTCTGCGTGGTTGCCCGCAAGGAATTAAACCCGTGTCCTGCCCCTGCTCCAGGACGAGCGAGCCCGGCCCGTCCTCGTGTGCCTGCCGGAGCGCAGACGGGACTCGGGGAGGTAATGAGAGCGCTGAACTGCAGAGCTGCGCTCTGATACGTGGGGAAACGGAGCGTCCTTGCCTGCTGCTGTTTAATGGAATCGTTTGCATTGGAAAAGACCCTTAAGATCATCCAGTCCAACCGTAACCCAGCACTGCCAAGCCCACCACTAAACCATGTCCCCAAGCACCACATCTCCCCGGCTTTTAAACACCCC